GTGTGAAATTTAACACTTTTATGTTACCTGTTTCTATTCTGGATTCTATTCTCTCCAATATGAGATACCAGAAGTGGAGTTTGTTTGAATGTCTTCAGATATTGGAGCCTATAGTTCATAATGTGAGTTACTGGCTCTAATAAGGATGTGCAACTGGCGGATAAGTTTGAGTTGACCAAACGTTTATTGGTGCAGTTAGTAAACTGTCCACCTAGACTATGACTTAACTATAGTTTCAAATAGGAAATTTTTAGAAGTTGTAGAGGCTGTGGAGTGAACGTTCTTTACTAGTATTTCACTCATCCACTACTATTTCATCTTTTATTATTTATCTGTTGTTGCCTAAACCTAATCGTTGTAATAGACTTTATTCGTTTTTTGAATTGAATAGTATATCGACATCAGTTATACATCAAATTAAATTTTAAAAGTGAATTCAAAGACCGTAGTATTAGAAAAATTGTAATTTCCCGTTACTCAAAAATCGGTTTCAGATTTGCTTCTGTAAACACACACAAATCATTGAATTTGTGAGTGAACCGGGAATTTACCTAGACACTCAAACCGAAGCAGATAGTTTTCTTAGGGGTCTGCACATCAAGCTTTTGACTTTAAAGTCTAATCCACTAGGTGACGGAGCAACGTATGTGATCCCATCCCATGATAGTTGGTGATCAACAGTAGGTTGATATCACATTGATTCAGTCAGGATCCTGGGGCCTATGTGCACTATTGCTTTGGAATCAGTGTCTTCCGACTTCTCTAAGTAGATCTTCCATACTCACCAATCCGGTTAAAGCACCAGAAACTCAGTTCTAATCTTCTCAATTTTGTAAACAATACTACCGCTGAGTGAAGTAGTAAGTAGCACTTCCCTAGCAGGAGCTATATGGTCATATGGAAGCATTTCGAGAGAGACAGCGAAAACTCCCTCTTCTCGCAGTCAGATCACTGTGGACTGATGAATTCTTTTTATTTTCGTTAAAACCTACTTCGAAGAAACTGCATAACAGATAAATACTACTCATAACTCTTGTATTTGTGTTTGTCATCCGCTCAAACATGTATTTAGATGGTGGGAAAAAGCAATTGCCATTTAGACGTCAGAGAATGGATATTGACAGTTTGATACCGCTTTCAAAAGAAGCTAAAACTTTAAATAATGAGAACTATTGTTGCTCAATAGCCCGAATTTGGGAAAAAGCTAATATGAAAAACATACCTGAGGTAATTCGTTTGTTTGTAATATAAAGAAATCTTATTTTCCGGCATATATTGTGGTGTTTTTTCCAGATTTTCTGTCATTCAGTTAAATGGTATATCAGTTTTATGCACAACTGACTGAATTATTTATGGACTGAAGCAATGGAAAACTAACTGTTATTATTAAGAAACTCTGTGTGTAATTTTGTCCTACATGTGTTACGAAGACCTACAGAATATCCGTTCCAACATTTTCAATGTGTTTCAATGAATGCATTGATTCGTGAATTTATTTGTCTTTGACTTTGTAATGCAATGTCTATACTACTGTTATACTCATGTTAGCCCATTTGATTTGTTTGTTTGTGATGGCCAACTTATGTTTACTGATTAGGGCTCAATTGATAAGATCTGAGTATTAATCAAATTCAGTAGTTTTTAAATTGATAAATTAAGAAGTCGTAACTTTATTTCAGTGTTTGTATTTACTTCATAATATCTTGACGAAGAAGAAGCTTTACATGTATCAGTTGCATTTATTATTACGTTTTATTATTGCAATGTTGAAAGACTAATGATATTTTCTCGCATATATTTATTAGACATACAATTTACTGGAAATTGCAACAAAACGTTGTGAAGAATTAGAAAATCAAATGCACAATTTAGAAGAAGAATTACAATTAAATGAGAGAAAAGTTGAAAATTTTCGACAACAAGTATGATTTTTTTAAAAAAAAAATTCAGTCTATTCAAGTGGTTCAGAGAAAAATGATTTAAATTGTACTTATAATTGAAATATTGCAGTTGTTGGTTAGAAGCTTTTATACAACTGATAGTAAATTAGTCTCATCAGTGCCGATGGCCTGGTGACTGACGAAATCTCAGCTCGGATACAGAACGCTCGATTGGCTTTTGCCAACCTGCGTCACTTATGGCGTAGGCGAGATATCCATTTGCTGACTAAAGAACGAGTGTACTGTGCAGTGGTTTGCTCCGTCTTACTTTATGGCTGTGAAACATGGCCAGTGAGAGTAGAAGATATTTGTAGGTTACTGGTTTTCGATCATAGGTGTCTTCGAAGCATTGCTCGTATATCCTGGGACACCCGAGTGAGCAACGCTGTTATTAGGAAACGGCTGCTAGGTAAGAATGGCAGATCAATAGATGAAGTAATGAAACTTCATCAGTTGAGGTGGTTGGGACATGTGTTACGTATACCCAACCACCGACTGCCTCGTCGAGCTTTGTTTTGTGGTGTAGGAATAGGTTGGAAGAAAGTTAGGGGCGGCCAGACCAAAACATGGCAGAAATCCATGAAGTCATTGACTAGTGGACTTAGCCATGTCGGTAATTGTCGACTACCTGGTTGGGGTCCGCGAGATGATAATAATCGATGGTTAGAGACCGTGAATGACATGGCTCAAAATCGTTCGCAATGGCGCCGGTGCATTTATTCTTTGCGTTCTCTCTAATCCTAACCTTCTGGGTTCTTCAACAACTCTAGTTTTGACTTTCTAAACTTTTCTCATTTAATCATACTTCTTGAATAATATCTTCTAATCCTAACCTCTCCGATTACTTCTAATTCCCTTACTACCTCTTTTCCTACTGGATTTGAATTGACAATTACATCTCTATGCAGATGTGGTATGGCAACATGAACTGATGTACTTACGTACGAAGTTCTACGTTGCATCTGACTGACTGACTGATAGTAAATTATTTTTGTTTTTTATATTAAAGATTGTAAATACTATACAGTTGTTTAAGTTGAAGTCAGTTAACTAGAGTCAAACGTGTTTGTTAATATATCTATTAATTAGTATTGATGGCTTATTTGGTAGAAAAGCGTTTAGAACGAGCTCTTATACTTGCCAAAACACACTTTTATAGGTTCACACCTACACACACTACAAAAGAAATTTGATCAGATTTCTTGCATATACCTCAAGTAATGAACTGGAATTTATCAACAACTTACCAATTCGATCTGGGCTGTCTGAGTGGTTTCGTAAAGGACTTCATGCGTACGAAGAAAAACAGGTCGGAAAATTTGACCATTCAAAAGAAGCCTTTATTTCTAAAACTAGAATTCAATGGGATTATGGCTAGCAATGTTCTGCATTATAGATTACTAAAGGAAATCAGTAGAACATGCTACTCAGCCAATCTTGCGGTGACGTTTTCTAAGCGACTAGCGATGTTGACTCAAACAAAGGACAATTTCCTTCAATTCACCTCACTGTGCAATTATGAATTCAGCTGCTTCTATGGAGATAGCTATATTCAGCGTACTACCAGACAACTTAACAAGAGAGTGTGTGTACACTTTCTAGCATGGTTTGGAAAGGGCCTAATAAAGATATCAGTAGGCTCTATCTTGATAGATATGATTGATAGTGGTCATAGTATAGATGAAACCGAATCATGGCGAGTGATCTATTGTATACTTCTATCATTTCCCAACAGGGTTTGATTAGATCTCCTACATTTAAAAGAAGCCTCAAGTATCTGAACCTTCAACCCCAGTTTGATCGAATACAACCTAATCGACTGCATTATTTCGTTATTATTGTTTTCACATCCAGCATTTGAGTTTCATCTCACACATCTTTCCGTTTATATTCTTCACTATCTAATTGTTTTGTAAGTATATTTATCCAAGTTTGACTCACCACTCTCACTGTCGAACTATTAACAAAAGCGTTTGTTATTGCATCTTAGAATCCTTACTACTAACACTACACCTTTCCTCCTACTGTCAACTTATACTTTTATCTATTATACACAGTTACATTGTGACCATTTACTCATAATTTGCCTTGATCGGTTTAACGTTTTCATACAAATATTTATGTATTTTAATATAAAGCCTGATGACGATCTAGTTAAAAAAATATTGTTCGCTTATAAGTGTTGTTCTAATTTTCCCTATGAGAATCGTTAACATTATGATGTTACCGTATACATGATATCTTAATTAAGATATAGAAGATAGTTTTCAAACAATAAATTAGAATACATCGCCTATAAATTATCATCAGATTACCGGGTTTTGAGGATGCAGATTGTATCTCAAAATTATCAAACATCTACAATGGAGTGTATACTCAACAATTGAAAAAGCGATTCTTCATATATCAGCTGTTATAAAACCGTAGACTGAGTAAGTATCTCTACAACTGATTTCATTTTAGTCTATTCACTCGGCTGTCCATTATACTTATTTTATTTTATTTTTACCTAGATTCATGAAATCTCAGCTACAGAATGATTTTTCAAGTATCATAAAGAATATTCTCAGTAACTATCATCTGTTAAAATGCTCCTCATAAATTCTTTTTTTTTTAAACAAACATCGGTCACGGTCTTGTTTTGATGTCATAAAATCTGCGACCATTTTTAAAAAAAATATTAAAACCCAACCTATTCTGATTTGATATGAATACCATGTGAAAATTGTACATTTCCATGTAGTTCTGCTAGATTGGTGTTGAAATTTCAAGAAATACGAAAAGTTTTATTTTATTATTTTTAAATTATAAAATAATTTAAATCTTAATTTTATTTTATGAAATATTGGAAGCAATCCAAGTGTTTGTATCCATGATTGAGTGGAATTAACACACTAATAATTAAAATATGTGAACAAGTTATCGTTTCGTCTAATGTTACATAATGTTGTTATTGACAAAGTGTTAACATATTCATCACTGTTATTTCTACCTTTGATCAGGTTATTCTAAGAGATTCTGAAATTGAACGACTACGTAGTATTACAGAACTAGGTCGTTCATTAGAAGCTATCATGCATGATTCTACTGAAAAACAATCCGATCGATTAATTCAACAATTACAAATACAAGTTGATTTATTACAGACTAGAAATGCTGAATTAGAATCACGTATTGTAGAATTAGTGAATCGAGAAATCCCAATTGTACAACCATCGTCTATTAGTTTAATTCATAAAGAATGTCAAACTATGCCTTTATGTAAACCTATACTTGTAAATAATTTATGTCAAACAAATTCCATGGATGCTGTTATACTGAATGAATCTGATATGAATTCAATTGTTGTTGAATTCAAGGTAAGTCAATTTGATGAATGCTGAATGTTAAATTTATAAATATAGCTAATAAATAGCATTACTAAGCGAAAATGTTCTAGAATAATATATAACTTTATATTCATTAAACTACTAAATCATTCACACATCCCTTCTCTATGGAGTTCGCTGTTGAATATGTTAGCATTGTTAATAATCAATTTTAAAATCTAGTCATTATTCAGGGATACGAAGAATCATTTTGTAAGTGTAAATTCTATTGGTCGATTCCTATTGGTCAATATTATGGTCATCGACCCGAATCCTTAATCCGGGATCCTGATTCTCTTCTGGACTCGGAACTCGTACTTTCTGGATGCTTGTAGAATACAGGTTACACTTCATATCAAGTCTTCTTTTTTCACTCAGTGGGGATCGGGACAATCAGATTAGAGTAGCATGTCGTGTCGCTAGATCATCTATCCTCGCTCTCGTTTTCCGATTAAGGTAAACTTGTAACAGTTCAAGCATATCACATGACGTGTATTCGTGCATGCGTAACAATTATGGGAGGAGTATAACACTAAATATTCTTCAGCTGCTTCACAACCTCAGTTCTATTGAATATTAATGGCTGTATAAAGTTTTCTGTGTCATGGTAAACTGATATAACACACAAGTTTAATGTAGTTGTGAGAAATTTGAAGCAAATTGTCGAGCAGTTTTTATTCTAAATAAAACAAACATATTATACATAAAACTAATCATATTGTTTCAATCCCGTGACTAATGATTACTTCACATCTCAAATATATCAACTGTTTGAATACACTTACAAAAAGTATAGTTAGGCAGTCAATCAATCAATCAATCAACAGCAACGTAGAACTTCGTACGTACGTGTACATCAGTTCAAGTTGCCATACCACATTAGCACAAAGATGCAATTGTCAATTTTAACCCTACGCATAGTAGTAGAGTTAGTAAATGTATTAGTAGTAATCGGAGAGATTAGGGTTCGAAGATAGTTAGGCAGAACTTACTGATAACACTAACATTATAGAACAACTAGATATGAAATGCTTATCCTTTTATGCTGTAACACAATAACATTGCACCGATTCTGTCAATATAGTTTCATTCATGAGAGAATATTCTACTACCATTCAGTAAATCTAAAGTTGAAAAATTACTCCCATCATTCTCGGACTATAAAAATAAACCCTTAAGCGAGTGAAGCGCAGAAATTGCTGTTACGTAGCATGATTATATCTACAACAAAGTTGAAACGTTTGAATCACTTCAAAATGTTTGCTCATCCCTGTAGTTCATTGACTATCTTCAAGGTTAGTGTAGTTTTTTTGCAAAATACTTTCATATTAGTTAGTCTATCACTGCAATACTCGTCTACAAAAGACTGGCAGATCTACATTACCAATATATCAATCCATGAAACTCGATTAAAAAAATCAAACGTTTCAGAATACTTCACAATATTTTTCGTGTGATGAGCTGGTGCTTTGTAAACAGTGATTCATTTATAGTCTTATATTTATTACTGTAAAAATAACTACATCTGTTCTATGTGTTTCTATGATCCCCTGTCTTCTTTGGTAATAAACTATGTTTATATTTGCATCGTACACTTGTCCCGTTTATCTTCATCGCCTTTTTAAGGCTTTGAGTAGCATGGTAAAGTCTATGCTACAGACTACAAACAACAACAACAACAATATCCATTATGGTTTCTATCTGTTCAATAATATAATCCTAATTCGTAACATCATTCAAATCTGATAAAGTATTAACTCCAAACACTGAACCTGAATGACAATGAATTATTGTTACACATTTTTGAAACCATGAATCGATCAACGTTAGACCACCATTCGAAACCTAGAAGCACTGGAAGGCCGTTTCGTCCTCGTATGGGACTCTTAAGCAGTGCGCATCCACGACTCCTGCATCCGGCAGGATTCGAACCCAGGACCTTCGGCATTGTGCGCGAACGCCTAACTTCGAAGGTCCTGGGTTCGAATCCTGCGGGGTGCAGGAGTCGTGGGTGCGCACTGCTTAAGAGTCCCATACCGGGACAAAATGGTCGTCCAGTGCTCCTAGGTTTCGAATGGCGGTCTAACATTTATCGATTCATGGTTTCAAAAATGTGTAACTTAACAGTCTTCACAACCTTGTAATGCAAATGAATTATTGAGAGATTTATTTTTAAACCGTTTCGCACATCCAGTACAAAAGAAATCTATTTATCTTCTACATATATGTAACCCACTAAGGAGAAAAAAATACCGTCATTTATATTTAGAGGATATTTAATCAACCTACAAGAAATCATTGTCTTAAAATCAAACTGTCTAATAAGGTTTTTCGGTATGTTGATTCCACTACACTTATGTTTAACAATACAATTGCTAATAAGTTGATTGCACAGGAAAATGTTGGAAAAGGTTATTTGTTAGATCCATAACTAACCAATCAAATCGTGATCCAAGTGCTCATCACTTGATATGGTGGTCTGATGTGTCTGTAAACAACCTCTATTGCATGTGACCTACCAATTGAAAGACACTATTATCATCAATGTGACTCATAATTTTAATCGTTTCGATAACACACGCAATTTCGGTCGATGTGTTTGTTCGTTTCACCTAATAGCTGTTATTTCCTCAATTATTGTTCCAATCTAATTGTTGTTACGTTTAGAACCAAGTTGTCCTTGTTCTGACTGTAGTTTTCAAACAGACTCTGTGCTGGTCAGTATCACGTTTACGATTCTAGTAGTATATCTGTAGGACAAATTAAATCCTACAATAAAGTTATTGATTTTTATCATAACACTACAACTATTAAGACATAAACAATTGTTTGTGTTATTAATAACTTTTCTGCTTATATCTGTAATTAATTTTTTCCATAGCGGAAAATTTGTAATTTAATTGAAAAATTTGAAAATGGTCGAGTTATCCTAACTCATCGTTTGCATTCAATTAATATTCAAAGTAGGTTTAACATAATTCAGTAAACTTTAAGTAATATTGAACTTTTTTTACCATTCAACTTAAGCGTGATATGGTTATTAGGTAAGAATTTAGATTTGCTTCCATTAGCATCTACTGAATTGATAGGTGCTCGAGAACTCATTCCGTCTGGCTCTGAACCTGAGAAGGAGAGGAAACAGCTTAAACACAAGTTCGTATAAAGCCCACTCAACAATCGCGAACAGTGGTGGGTAGCGAAAGCAAGAGAGATGAAAAAGGCAGTGGAGATAGTTAACAGTATATATCTATTCAGAATTACCAAAGAAACTGGTATTAGGAATCCGACTGTTAGCGTGAATCTCTTGGAAGAAGATGAAATTCTTATTCACTATCGAGCTAGGAGATTGGATCGATGAGCAGAACACATTAGGGAGCAGTTCAAATGGCCTTCAGCCACACTTCAGTAACCCACGATCTACAGTTAACCTGAATGTCAAGTTAGTGTGAGTCTTTCAATTCTTAATGAGGTTGGAAAGGAAGTCTAAGGCTAAGGAAAGCGACGTGTCCTGATGAATTAACCCCTGAGATTTTCAAGGATCGTGATCTAGTTTTAGCAGTTACATGGACTAAGATGTCAGCTAGAATTTGAGAATTAGACAAAATCCCATCTGATTGGTCTCAATATGGCATCTAAAATATTAGCTTCAATAATGTTTTGACGCCTAACTAGAGCACGTGTACAGGAGACTCAAGAAAAACAGGCTGGTTTCAGCCTTAGACGTGAATGTATAAACCAGAGATTCACACTTCATCAGGTACTAGAACAAAGACATACATTTCGACGTCCAAAATAGTTGTATTCTTTTACCTTAAGGTGGCGTTCAACTTCGTTGATCATGAGGCTTTATGGTAGTGAGTGGTAGGGTTGTTCTATTTCTCCATTCTTATTTAACTTTTTCACTGGTATGCTCTTAAAGACGACACCTTCATAGTCTGGCTTTTAAGGATTCAACCTTCTACCATGAAGATTCACTTGTTGACTTAGTTATGTTTGTCGAAGACAATAACAAAATTCATAGTCTTCTCACCACCTTAAGCAACAATGCAAGCATGTTCAAGATGTGATTCTCTTCCTAAGGATAGTTAATCGTGCAATCTAAGTTAATGCGTTAAAATTAAATCTCGTTACTCAATAATTATACAATTAAAATATATGATAATACTAGTCCACAATTCAATTCTGAAAGTTACCATTTCAGTTCTGACAGACTCACTGTAGGAAATAATCAGTAAAAAAATTATATATTGTGGCCATGACTTTAATTAACCTTAGGCATTTCTCAAAATAATTCTTAGTTAGTTTCTCCATGAAATCTATCATACTGAAACAAATAACATTGAACAATATTTGTCAACAATGAAATCTTGATAAAAGTAGGCAATCACAATTAGCTTCCAAACATAAATACTAGAAGTACGGCTTATTTGAATGACCAATTTTATTACTGGTTTTTAAGATAGATTATTAGCTTCTATCTGACTAAGATGTAAGTCTAGTTGCTTAAATTAATTTGTGTTAAATTAATTAAAAATCATTTGAAATGTATGAAATAATAATTTATCAAAGTTTGATAAATTTATATATAAATATTCGTATATCGTGGGACAACCGAGTGAGCAACGCTGTTATTAGGAAACGGGTACTAGGTAAGAATGGCAGACCAATCGAAGAAGTGGTGAAACTTCATCAGTTGAGGTGGTTGGGACACGTGTTGCGTATGCCTAACCAGCGACTCCCTCGTCGAGCTTTGTTTTGTAGTGTAGGAATAGGTTGGAAGAAAGCTAGGGGCGGCCAGACCAAAACATGGCAGAAATCCATGAAGTCATTGACTAGTGGACTTAGCCATGTCGGTAATTGTCGACTACCTGGTTGGGGTCCGCGAGATGATAATAATCGATGGCTAGAGACCTTGAAGGACATGGCTCAAAATCGTTCGCAATGGCGCCGGTGCATTTATTCTTTGTGTTCTCTCAAATCCTAATCTTCTGGATTCTTCAACACCTCTAGTTTTGACTTTCTAAACTTATCTCATTTAATCATACTTCATGAATAATATCTTCTAATCCTAACCTCTCCGATTACTTCTAATACCTTTACTACCTCTTCTACTATTGGATTTGAATTGACAATTATATCTCTGTGTTGATGTGGTATGGCGACATGAACTGATGTACTTACGTACGAAGTTCTACGTTGCATCTGACTGACTGACTGACTGATATATAAATATAGAAGAAACGTAATGAGAAGACGTGACCAGTGGAGTTCAACCCTGTCGGGTGTAGGCAGTAACTACCAAAGACAAATGGGTGAGGTCACGCAAAATCCCTAGATCAGTCAGAGTTAGATATTAAAACCGTTGGATGCTGGTCCAGTGATACAGAGGTTAGGCGTTTGTGCACTAAACCGAAGGTTCAGGGTTCGCAGAAGTCGTGGATGCGCACTGCTGATGAACCCAGGACTTGACGGCTGTCCAGTGCTTCCAGGTTTCTAATGGTGGTCTAACAATGATTGATTGATGATTTCAAATGAGTAAAAATACTAATCCCCATTACTATTATTGAAGAAACGTAGTACTTTAACACTGTTACAACGAGAACTAGTTTAATTTCTACGTTATGTATGTGTTATGTACCATCTCGGAGTGGTAATGATGGTAGACTTTGTCCAAAAAAACATTATATATTGTAACTTTGTGAAATTTCCACTAGTCAATAAATCGAATTAGTAGAAATGTACACACTTTATCGTCCGGTCACTGAAATTAATCATAAGAATAATAATTGAGTGAAAAAATTGTCAAATTATATTCTTAATTAATTAAAATTATATTTTTAAAATTGTTTCATTCTGTAAGACAACAGATGGATTGTTTAGAATGGTAGATACGTGAAACAAGATTGAATTGTCAGTGTTGTGTGATTTGAATTGAATCTAGTTTACGATTATGGTACAATTGTTATCTACTGCTTATGGCAACGGAATAAGGTTAAAGGTTTTTGTACTCTGTGAAGAGAATCACATCTCAAACATGCTTGCAATGTTGATTAAGATAAACGACTGCATAGTGTCAGCATCAGATGCAAGTGTGAATAGGACTTTAATGAGAATGTAACTGATTGATATTTTACTGTATCTTGATTAACCAACTGCTTATTAATATACATATGCCGTCAATGATGTTGTAGATGCTAATTGTATACAGTCTATTTCTTCTATACAAATAAGTTTGTCAGCTGTTAACTGCTTATATTGATCATACTGAACAATTCTTAAATAATAATATTACTTACTTACTTATTTACGCCTGTTACCCCCAATGGAGCATGGGCCGCCCACCATTTTTCTCCGACCAACTCTGTCCTGGGCTTCCCTTTACAGTTCTTTCTAGTTTTTGTTCATTCTTCTCATATCTTTCTCTATTTCACGGTGTAATGTGTTCCTTGGCCTTCCTCTTTTCCTTTTGCCTTGAGGATTCCATGTGAGGGCTTGTCTTGTGACGCATTTGGGTGCTTTTTGTAGTGTGTGTCCTATCCACTTCCACTGCTTCTTCCTGATTTCCTCATCCACTGGAATCTAGTAAGTTGTTGCTGATAGTGTCTGACCAACGAATCCGAAGTATTTTGCGACAACTGTTAATATATACTTGTATCTTCTGGATGATGGCTTTGGTAGTTCTGCAAGTTTCCACTCCATACAGTAGAACTGTCTTGACATTTGTATTGAAATTCGTGATTTTGGTGTTGATTGATATTTGTTTGGAGTTTCAGATATTTTTCAATTGTAGAACTGCAACCCGTTGATTCTTAAATATTATGTTCCATTTACAAAATGATAAAATTAAATTCATTATCACTTATATATGCTCATATTTTTTTTTAGACCGTAAACTTACAAATGAACTTTCAAATTATATTCGTTCATCATTATCATCAGTTCGTAATCGGTTGTTAACTCGTGCTGGTAAACAAATGATCAAGTTAATCGAGAAATATCTACATGATATTGAAGAGAATCGAAATCGTTGTCAATCAGAAATCGAAACTGTAGCTTACAATTTAAAATGTATATCTAATTATTTTCATGAAAAATACTTTGAATTTACCACAAAACAATTGACTGATGACAAGAATACAATGAAACTTGGCTTAGAACTTCAATGTCAACGTTCCAAAGCGGCTGAAAGAAACATAGATCAGCATCAAGATTGTAAAGTATGTATGGTTGTCATATAGTCGATACAAAATTCAGTATTTATTTATTTACACATTTGAAATCATCAATCAATCATTGTTAGACCACCATTAGAAACCTGGAAGCACTGGACGGCCGGTTCGTCCTGATATGGGATTCATCAGCTGTGCGCATCCACGACTCCTGCTCCTCGCAGGATTCGAACCCGGAACCTTCGGTTTAGTGCGCGAACGTCTTAACTTTGAATCACTGGGCCGGCATCCAACGGTGTTAATGTCTAACTCTGATTGATCTAGGGATTTTGCGTGACCTCACCCATTTGTCTTTGGTAGTTACTACCTACACCCGACAGGGTTGAACTCCATTGGTCACGTCTTCTCACTAGAACGTCGAGAATTCCCTCACGAACCTAGTCCCATACCAGGACGAAACGGTCGTCCAGTGCTTCCAGGTTTCTAACAATGATTGATTGATGATTTCAAAAGTGTAAAAACACAAATCTCCAAAGCTCAAACTTAAAATATTTATTTATTGTTGGTGAAGTATATTCACAAAATTACATTTACCTGCATCATAACAAGTGAACTGAGTCATAGTGGTCGATGACGAAAGTAACCGATGCTTAGACACCTTGAACGATATGGCTCAGAATCGTTTGCAATGGCGCAGGTGTATTCATTCATTGTGTCCCCTCAAATTCTAACCTTCTGAATTCCTGATCATCTCTATCATTCTCGTTCTACATTTATCTCACTGAATTAGATTTCTCGAATCATATCTTCTCTCCCTAATCTTCTATATTACTGCTAATGCTTCTACTATCGCTACCACTATTTGATTTGAACTGACAATTACGTCTCTGTGCTAATGTGGTATGGCAACAACTTGAACTGATGTACTTACGTACGAAGTTCTGCATTGTATCTGTCTGCTTGTCTGTCTGTCATCATGTCATATAAAGTTGACAATAATATGCAACTCTAAACTTTGAATTTAAAATGAATTTAAATTTTATTTATGGATTGAATATTATTTCTGTGACGTTAAAGTATACATAAACAATCTCAACACAGAGGTGTCGAAATCCCTGTCAATTAATATCAATCTAAAAAATTAAAAAAAGTTTGAAGTAATCGGTTATAAAGAAATTACAACATTTGTATATTGTTATTTCAGTTTATATTGAGTGTATGGGTAGGTATTTTTAGGACATACCACATTAGCTATTGCAGGAGTAGATGTTAAGTAAGCCAAGAAGCCAGGTTGCTTATGGCCAATAACTGTTCACAATCATATTCAGAAAAGTAACATGTATATTTATTCACACTTCACTTCTACTCTTCTATCAATCAATCAAAAGCATCATTAAAATGCCTATCATCGGACCCATAAATGTAGTGAATTTAGTTCAACACTATTGGTTCTAGTCAGCGTTGTTGTCAGCTATGTCTATTTTGAATAGTGAAGGTGAATATGATTTTTATCAGTGATTAAAAATGATTACTTAGAAAATTAATTTTCTTAAACAGATGAGCTAACTTCTCTTAGATCTACGATTCAAACCATCCAATGAAAATTATCCATTATTGAACGAACTTACACACAATCGGATCGCATTAAAAACGGTTCGTATTACTTAAACATGGAAATAATCCAAGTCATTTTAAATGAGTTGACAAGTCTCGTCCTTGAAAATTTGTATACAACGTTTTAAAAGCTGCTTTGTTGTCAATTCCATGCCCCGTTCCAATAATGCGCTTTTCTATGAGTGAACATGATTTTCCATTTCCCATGTTTATAGGGTCATTTGACATTTGACATTATTTTAAAGCCCTTTAGGCACTTTTACATAGCACTAGATTGGATTGTCCGATTACTCTTCCATATATCCCAACTGGCAAATACGATGGGATGTAATGTAATCCCGCGAACAATGTTTAGGCCTAGGTGAAATCCTGTGCTTAGTCCTTATCTCGATGGCTACTTTTAGTCTGTCATAAAATCATACTGTTCGATTCACCTCTAAATGATAAACAGATATCAATACTTATCGATAAATTAAAAAAGAGGTTTTCATCCTAAATTGACTTTTACATCTACTTATATACTTTAGTGGATAACTGTTTGAAATCAGTGTTTCAGTCAACAGTTTCACACCATCTTCCAATTTATATGTAGTACATGTTCTTTGTGTCTTATTGAAGAGGCATTTTACCGAATCTCACTTGTACTGCAGTGGACAAAAGTTATGTAAATTTAAATATTGTCCAGTTCAGGTTGGCTTCCTGTAAACTGACCACTTTATAGTTCCAACCTCTCCTCGATTCTGATAGTCTTAGGCGTTAGTTAACCGATATTTGCTTATTAATCGTAAACAGATCAATCCCAACTAACACAATACATTATCTAAAGGTCATTGATACAAAAACTTATACTTGTTATTAGGCAGTAATACTTAATATTTTGCATGCTATATGTAATACGAACTTAGTAAGTAAGTTATACCACAGCTAGTTCTATCTCGTAGCCGGATTATTGCTAACACATTAAGTGGAAAAAATAAGCCATAGTATTAAATCAGTTTGTTAGGTAGGCCGCAAAAAAGGTCCTGTTGCTTTCTGATTGAATGCTGGTCGATATCTACAGTAAGAAGTAATATTTCAGAAGGCATCACTTCATTTAATAACCATAGCACTTCATACACAGGAGATTCTAAAGTCCTATGGTCCTATGGCGACATGAACTGATGTAGTTACGTACGAAGTTCTACGTTGCAACTGACTGACTGATACACAGGAGATCACCAGTGGTCTTTGCGAGATGATTGACTGTGATGCACTTCGGATAGCCTACTCAATCACTAGAGTTGTTTTTGATGCTTGGCGGTTGGAACAAATAACATCCAGCACAGATATGAACAATATTATCGTCAGATTCTTCACTAAGCTCATTATTCACTAGCATATCGACGTTCGCTTCAGCTCTGTCTTTACTGTCATCACTAGATATAAAAGACTCCAGATCTACATTTCTAAAAGCATCATTTCTACTGTTGATTTCTTTCATTTCTTGGTCTACGGAAATGGATAATGTTTCTCTGGGATTGTTGTACGAATCAAAAGTCTTGAGGATTTGTTAGTATTAACCCAAAATGTTTCATCATATTACTTTTAGTTGACTGCCGTTGGACTTTCAAGTCTCATTGGAAAGGACCCACTGTTTTTCAGAAAATCTAATTCATTGAACTGAAGAGCATAATTGATAAGATGTCAACATGGAAGTTGAATTTCACGTCTGAAAGGACAGTTGCATTCCATAACATCCACCGACTGCCTCGACGAGCTATGTTTTGTGGTGTAGGCGTAGGTTGGAAGAAAGCTACGGGTGGCCAGACCAAAACATCACAGAAATCCATGAAGTCACTGACAAGTGGACTAAGTGATGTTGGTAGGTGTAGACTACCTGGTTATGGTCCGCAAGACGATAGTCATCAGTGGTCAGAGACCTTGAACGACATCGCTCAGAATCGTTTGTAATGGCGCAGGTGCATCCATTCGTTGTGCTCTCTCAAATCCTAATCTTCTCGATTCGTCAGCACCTCTACCTTTATCTTTCTAACCTTATCTCACTGAATTATACTTCTTGAATAATATCTTCAAACCCTAGTCTTCTTCAATACCATTAATACCTCTACTATCTTTATCACTATGGGATTTGATTTGACATCTGCGTCTCTGTGCTAATGTGGTATGGCAACAACATGAACTTATGTACATACGTACGAAGTTCTACGTTGCAACTGACTGACTGACTGATAAAATCCATATCTACAGAATACTTCCTCGTGTGATCTATCACAGTAAAAGTATTTTTCTGATAATCTGATCATTTTAAAAAATTCAATTTTCGGTAACTGACTTGGTTTCGGACTGTTACAGCTTCGTATCTCCAGTAATTCAAGACTGCTATGGAACATGACTTTTGTAGACGCTTTTTTTCTGATTTCATGCAATCTAGTATGCTACCAGTAGCGACTGCTTAAAAGTAAGTGAAACGCATAACACAACTTAGAATATTTACAATTGGGGTTGCATATCTTCATTTTTCTGTGCGTTAATTCTCACTAACTTTGTATGATTTTGCATTGAGAGCATTTCTAGCAGTTGAAACACTCAGACCCACTTCTTTTGTGAAGAAAGTCATTTTGTAAGTAGTTCAAAAATGTCTCACTGTCCTCTTCATTATCATTCAACTCGGGGTTGAATGTGCACAAATTTATGTACTGAAATAATTTCACACGTACTAATCGAAGTACATTATTTACAAATAGTACTATCGATCCCTCAGTTTCAAGTGAATTGATTACTGACGAAAACACATACGTGCATACTTTAAAACTCTCTGAGTTTTTATTTCAGACTTTAGTTACTTTTTTATATCCGTTACGTATGTATCTTTATAATTTGAAAAATATTTTGATATTCTGTACTGACTTACTTCTTTTATTATTCAGAATAGTACGAAACTATGATGCGACATAGTTTCTGCAAGTACAATACTTATGTAGTTTTAAGCGTTTTCTGATTGCTTTATCCTAGTCTATCATAACAAATGTAGAGTAGTCTGTTTGACTAATTTAGAAATGTTCATACTTCATTGAGATACTTTGAACAGGATTTCTATAATCACTATGATATACAGAAATGGACAGGAAGACTTATTTAATTGCACACTCGATCATTCGACCACAATTGGAGTCCAGTAGTGAGCCACTAAACTAGCACTAAAAACTGTTGTCCAGTGCTTCCAGGTGCTATATGTCTATCTAACTTAGGATATGCTCCTTGTATTCAATAAATCTCAACATTCTCTACAACCTCATACTGATGGTATTATATTTATTGAAGAACTGGTAAATTTCAGATTATGTATTCGACTTAGTTAAGATTATTATTTCTGTTTATGTTATGTATATAACATTTACTTGAATCAATTGTTTCACTCATCGTTTGTTTAACTTCAGAATGGTCTGCAAGATGATGAAATGAAGTGTTTACGTCAAGAACGTGATGATTTGATCGGATTATTGGATTATTTTGAACGACAACTACATGATGTATGTTTATTAGTGTTAAAATATTTATTCTCTTAACTTGAAGGATTTATATTTTAATTCAAGTTTTTGAATAAAATGATTTTTTATTTTTATCAACGAAAATTATTCATTATTATTATTATTAAAAATATATGTAACACATTTGATGATTAGATAATTGATTTCAGAATATTCATTACAATCATAATTCATGGGAAATATTTTTAGAAATAACTCTGTCGATTAATCAAGATTCAGTTGGTGTCTGCTATGTAGTCTGAATATAGGATCCAAACTGAGGTTTGGATGGAGGAATATCTGTCTAGGTAGATTAGATACGCGTCTTGACCAGTTGACATCAAAACAAGTGATTTGGGTAAATGACGGTTCTAATATTCATCATAAATACAAATGTATATCATTACCTAAACAAATATTACCACTCAGTTATTCCACCAACAATGGTTCAGTTAATCAAATCAACAGCAACAGATAACTAATATTCTATCCCTCCTGCATAGATCAGATTCGTTCGACAGATAATATTTGGTTGCTTTATAACAGAGGGTGTTTCCAATTCTGGAAGGGTGCTTCAATTCACAATCAAAATGCACAATTTCAGTGAAAACAAGGAACCCAATCAAAAGAGGAACAAATCAATATGGCTGTCGACATGACTAAGTATCAGCTTAAACAACATAAATGCATTTCAGAAAGAAACATAGAAACTCAGTGAAGGCAAAATAAATAGAAACTATAATAAAGTACAAATACTATCATCTCAAAATGGAATCGAACAGACTAACAAGATGTACAACTGAAGGAATCAATCAGGACAAATTACAAATGTATGCATGGAGCGATTTTCACAAACAAAGCGTTCAAAAATGGATCTTACATCGAATGCCTTAGTGGATAACGTATTAGAGATGGTAGTTTAAGGTTCTGGGTTCAATTATCGAACTAAACATCAACATCAGGACGCATGTTCATCCATCTGACGAATCTAAAATATGAAGAAATGTGTTCTAGATTTCACTGCCAGCCAAAGTCAAACTCTTTCTTGAATAACTTTATTTAGTTTGTAACTCTGTGTTTAGTGAGAACTGCTTAATTCAGCATCAAAAGTATTTATGTTTAGGAATTTCTCAGTGATATACATTCACATGATTTCTGTCAGTTGTACTTTTATTTTTAGTAATAAATTCCTGATTATCTTGTACGTTGTATTATGCGATTAACAAGTGGTTGTTTGACCTTGTCAATCATTCGCTCATATTTCGGTTGATTTGCTTGAGTGTGTGTCGCTTACATCGCTTATTATTATCATTATTTGCTGACTATCAATACTTAGTCGTGCTCTATCGCATTGAATTGGCTTGCTCACCTTCTTCACTTCACTTCACTTTGCCTTCAAGCTTCGTATTCTCATGTCTCTCTGCGTAAACGGTTGCATGAAATGAATTCACCTGCAAAACCGTATTTGTCTCGTAATTACCCCACCGTCATGCAAACGAATTTCGCCTAAGTATAGTATATGAAAATTGAAGAGCATATTTATTCCGTGAAACATTCAACTATACACCCATAAACGGATCAGTTCATGGGTCACTAAAGTGGTGAGCCCTAGTTCACATTTAACGGAACCACTAAAATATGCAAAAAAAAATTAATCGTAATATTGAGAATGGTAGAGAAATCTACGATGATCAGTCAATATTTCCTAAATCGATTTTAGATCTTGAGCATACTGTCTGTCATCTGCTCGTTGATTTTCAGCAGTATAGCTGGCTTTTATCACTCACTCAATTGAGTCATCTTTTGAAAATCTATTTGTATTTTTTGTGTGTTTACTAATATGTTAAGCCCATATGGCTTGTTTCAAGCCTTCAGACAATTTAACTTATCGCCTTGTACCCGAGTTACTATCCCTACATCTTCCGACCTTGCCAAATATTCGCTTTTTTTCTTGATTGTTTTTATTCCTGTATGTATGTGTGTGTGTACACCTACTTCGCTTAGGCATGTCTAGCTTATTTTGCTAACTATAAATGTTTATTACAGGGGTTGTGAAGATCGGTTAGTTACAAATTTTTTGAAACTATGAGTCGATCAATGTTAGACCACCATTAGAAACCTGGAAGCACTGGACGGCCGTTTCGTCCTGGTATGGGACTCCTCAGCAGTGCGCATCCACGACTCCTGCATCCCGCAGGATTCGAACTTGATCAAGTTAGACATTAACACTGTTAGATACCGGCTCAGTGGTCTAACGGTTAGGGCGTTCGCGCACAATACCGAAGGTCCAGGGTTCGAATCCTGCGGGATGCAGGAGTCGTGGATGCGCACTGCTGAGGAGTCCCATACCAGGACGAAACGGCCGTCCAGTGCTTCCAGGTTTCTAATGGTGGTCTAACATTGATCGATTCATGGTTTCAAAAATGTATAAATGTTTAGTCATATCTCACTACATTGAGTTGGCTCACTCGAATTCTCCATTCCGCTTCGATTAGGTTGTACGATTTATATTCTCATGTTTGCCTGTGTGAACGATTGCTCGGAATAAATTCATCCAACCTATGTACATGGCTCTTAATTACCGCCGTCGCACAAACTGGATAGACGGAAACTGAAGGGAGGATTTATTTCATTACTCACTCACCTACTCACTCGCTCGCTCGCTTGCTCTTCGGCATTCGTATATCGCTTTCTCTTCGTGTGCCTGTCGTTTTATGACCTGTGTGTGGTGCGATAATAATCGTAATCAAAGCTTCGTTTTCGTCTTCTGATTTAAACATCGTTGTGCACTATCCAGTAATGTTTATCAGGACAAGCAGTAAAACGGAGTGTAGAAATATATATATCGAAAACCGACCACCACAGAAATGATGAGCCCATATCCACACCACACTATGAATTATATTTAGTAAAAATTTTCATTTTACCGTTTAAAAGCTGTTTTATTTTCTAATGGAATATATTTATCAGTATTACAAGTGAACGTCAATAGAACTTCTATTAAAAAATGATAACAAACAAGTGTTACAGTAAAACATTTCATAAACAGGATATATATATATATGTACTTGTATAGTGTAAACCAAAAATACTTTCTATCAATTAAGAAATAATATTATTTGTTTATTGAATTCTTTATTATTGCCAGATCAAAGAAAATCTTCAACTTGTTATTCATGAGCGTGATTCACTTAAGCATGAATTATCAGTGCAAGTAAATGAGATTGGTTTTTTTTAAAATTGTTTATTATGTTTGTGTGGCTACAATTTCTAATTCTTAATAGTATTATTTGTAATTCTGTATGTAATGATATTATAATTGTGTAATATATTGAATTCAAATATTGTTTTGTACAGATCAATCAATCAATTAACAGCAATGTAGAACTTCGTACGTACGTACGAATGTACATCAGTTCAAGTTGACATATTATATTAGCGCAGAGGTATTAGCAGTAATCGGAGAGATTACGGTTCGAAGAAGATATTATTCAAGAAGTAGAATCTAGTGAAAGAAGAGTCGCATACTAGGGATAAAGCGAACATCCAATGCTTCCAGGTTTCTAATGGTGGTCGATGATGATGATCGATCAATTTATAATTAGTTGTACTTTGTTGTTGATCTCATGTCAAGAACCGATAGTCAGTCAGTTGCAACGTAGAACTTCGTACGTAAGTACATCAGTTCATGTCGCCATACCACATCAGCACAGAGATGTAATTGTCAATTCAAATCCAACAGTAGAAGAGGTAGTAAGGGTATTAGAAGTAATCGGAGAGGTTAGGATGAGAAGATATTATTCAAGAAGTGTGATTAAATGAGAAAAGTTTAGTAAGTCAAAACTGAAGGTGTTGAAGAATCCAGAAGGTTAGGATTTGAAAGAACACAAAGAATAAATGCACTGGCGCCATTGCGAACGATTTTGAGCCATGTAATTCAAGGTCTCTAACCATCGATTATTATCATCTCGCGGACTCCAACCAGGTAGTCGACACCTACCGACATGGCTAAGTCCACTTGTCAATGACTTCATGGATTTCTGCCATGTTTTGTTCTGGCCGCCCCTAACTTTCTTCCAACCTACTCCTACACTACAAAACAAAGCTCGACGAGGCAGTCGGTGGTTGGGCATACGCAACACATGTTCCAACCACCTCAACTGATGAAGTGTCACTACTGCGTCTATTGATCTGCCATTCTTACCTATCACCCGCTTCCTAATAACAGCGTTGCTCACTCGGGTGTCCCAGGATATACGAGCAATGCTTCGAAGACACCTATGATCGAAAACCAGTAACCCACGAATATCTTCTACTCTCACTGGCCATGTTTCACAGCCATAAATTAAGACGGAGTGAACCACCGCACAGTACACTCGTCCTTTAATCAGCAAACGGATATCTCGCCTTCGCCATAAGTGACGCAGGTTGGCAAAAGCTAATCGAATTTTCTGTATCCGTACTGAGATTCCGTCAGTCACCAGGCCATCGGCACTGATGAGACTCCCAAGATAAGTGAAGCGGTCTACACGTTCGACTACTTCACTCCCTATCGCTAGTTCAGGTGCCGATGAAACCCAGTCTTGAAGCAACATTTTGCATTTCGAGGGGGAAAACCGCATCCCGAACATGCTTGCATTGTTGCTTAGGGTAGTCAGAAGACTCTGCATTTTGTCAGCATCTTCACCAAGTAGGACAATGTCATCGGCATATTCTAAGTCATTAAGCGAGCCACCTGATAGAAGGTCTACTGCTGAAAATTGAGACGAGGATAAGGTTATTTCTAGGATCATGTCTATGATAAAATTAAACAAGAATGGAGAAAGTGGACATCCCTGACGGACACCACTTGAAGTAAAGAATTCCAATGACAGTTTGCCATAAGCTCTCACTCGACCAGTGGTGTTCGAGTAGAGAGGCTAATGTACTTCTGCCACAGAACCTCACGATCCACTGAGTCAAGAACCGATAAAAATGTAAGCTGCCTAAGTTATGCTAGTAATGTATAAAGCAGTAATAAAAAAGAACTCTACGTGTACTATCTTGTTACTTATTACTTTGACATTTGTATACATCAAAAGAAATTCATTGATAAGCTTATTTAGACTTGTAGTACAATGTATGCTAGTTTATTTAGGGATATATATGTATTTGACTATTTTTCAAAAGTTTACAGTTTGGTCAAAATGTTGTTGTCTAATAAAGTTGTTATTTAAAATCAGTGGTACCCAAAGATTATATAGATGGATCTATGAGAGGGTGATGTTAATGTCTGCCCTACCAAGATTTATGCAATTTTGTAAGACCACGTCGATATTGACTGTGATCAACACTAACTACTAATTACTATCCCGTCCACGATAAGCAGAAGTAAATCCAGAGTAAAGAATATATTTGAAAGAGAAAGTAATCGTTACAGCAAGCAGCAAGTTATGAAAGATTGCAGCAACGTGAAAAAGGACGTTACACGCAAGTCAGTGTTTTTGACTACAGTTAAACAAAACGAGTACAATAATAAATACTTATTTCATGCCAATCGCGTTTTCTTCGTAGAAGTGTTCCTTTACTAGATGGATCTATGAAGAGGTGATGTTAATGTGTCTGCCCTACAAAATGGTGTGAATACCAAAATTTATGCAATGTTATCTGTCTCAAAATAATGATAACAATAATCAGTAGTATCTTGTGATTTCTATTCAAATAATCGTAATGCTGCTACTGTTGTACAACAACAACAACAACAACACGTAAGAATCGTGTGAAGATCATTAGTTAAATGAACATATTAATGTATTATCTTCGTAACCTGACTGTCATTAGGGAAAAAAAATCATGCCATTCGAAAATTTAATTACAACGTAAACATCAAAATTCCACCTTATTAATTTTTTTATTTTTTTTCCTATTGCGATTTACATTTTCAGTCAGAACAACTAAATAAACTGAACTGCTTTCATCAATCCATGCCATTGAATCAATGTACAACCAATCATTCACATTCATCTGGACAACATATCAATAAGGTGGCGATGACGGCGGAGGCGGCGGCGACGGCGGCGGTGAGAAATAGTAATCGTGAACTTGATGAACTTATTCAAAATTTACAATCTATGACTACAGAAAGAAATGTATTACATGAACGACTGCATAATCTCACTGTTGAATGTGCTAATGAAAACAGTCAATTTGTTCAACGCTTAGAAAATAGTAAAAATGAATTAAATGCAATGAAAGAAAATAAAATACAATTGGAACAACGTGTTACAGAACTTTTAAAATTGGTTGTTGAAAAAGAAACAGAATTAAATAGATTGGTTAGTAGAACTGATGTTGTGCAAAGAATGTTTTTACTTACTTACTTACTTACTAATATCGTGGGACAACCGAGTAAGCAATTCTGTCGTTAGGAAACGGGTGCTAGATAAGGATGGCAGATCAATAGATGAAGTAATGAAACTTTATCAGTTGATGTGGTTGTGACATATGTTGCGTATGCCTAACCACCGACTGCCTCGACGAGCTATGTTTTGTAGTGTAGGAATAGGTTAGAGGAAAGCTAGAGGCGGCCAAACCAAAACATGGCAGAAATCCATGAAGTCACTGACAAGTGGACTGAGTCATGTTGGTATATGAAGGCTACCTGGTTTGGGTCCGCGAGACGAAAGTCACCAATGGTTAGAGACCTTGAACGACATGGCTTAAAATCGTTTGTAATGGCGCAAGTGAATCCATTCGTTATGCTCTCTCAAATCCTAATCTTCTCGATTCGTCAGTACCTCTATCTCACTGAATTACACTTCTTGAATAATATCTTCAAACCCTAGTCTTCTTCATTACTATTAATACCTCTACTATGTTTATCACTATGGGATTTGAATTGACAACTGCGTCTCTGTGCTAATGTGGTATGGCATCGTGAACTGATGTACATACGTACGAAGTTCTACGTTGCAACTGACTGACTGACCTACTTACTTACTGTTTACGCCTTAATTTATCAATCCTAAACTCATGTACGAGCATTTGGAACAATTTTATTGTTCAATTTATTTGAAAGTTGCTTACATAATTAACTAACCTACTTTTCGCTACTGAAGTGCTACTTATGCAGTAATTCACTAGAAAAAGTTAGGTTAATTGCTTCATGACAGGAAGTTAACAGATTAGATATATGTATAAGAGGTAGAAATGGTATTTCGCATGTGTATTTTAGCGTTGAGGGGTTTGTTTTTATTATTGTGTCTTTAAATTATGCTCTCCACCTGATAGGCTTGAAACTATTACGGGTTCACCTTAGTCGATAAACGAGAACAAGACAATGAACCAGTGTCCGGGTAGGCTACTTTGATCCGTTGACCTCAACACTTTAATCTGGAGGTGTTTATTAGTTTAGAAATTCATTCTTATAAAAGAAAATGACTACTTTTATTCTTTGAACGGTTTGATGAGATAGAAAATTACAATAGAAATTTGTAACAAACTAACGTCTTTAGACCAATACTACTCTATTTTTTAAACTTTATCCCATGACAGCATAATCGAATTTGGTTAAATGCTTAGGTTTCAGACTTAAAATTGTATTCATTTGTATTGGTTATTTGAATGTTTCCATTACTGGAGTTGCTCAGTCTCTTTGGCATATTTGCATCGTGCAAGGTGTACCACAGAAATACATTCACCTTGTCCAGGCTCTCTACTCGAACACTATCCAGTCAAGTGAGATCTTATGGCGAACTGTCATCCCTATTGATTACCTAGAGAGGTGTCAATCAGGCCTGTCCACTCTCTATTCTTGCTCAACTTTGTCACTGACATACTTTTAGAGATGACATTTTGATTGTGTGACTTTTCAGAGACTTACCTTCTACCAAAGGACTCATTTGTTGACTTACAATATGCCTATGACATAGTTCTAGTGCAATGGGATGAAGATTAATTAATCTTTTATAGGTTGTTTTAACTTTTACATTGATGTTTAGGAGTAAATATCAACTCTAAGATGCAGGTAAATCCAACTGACGAGTCTCAAATAGGACGAAACGCACATCCTAAATTTCACTACTAGCCACTATTTAACTCTACTAAACATGTTAAATAAGAGTCTTAACTAATCAATCCTTTTATGTTGTTTGATAGGCATACTGAATTGAAACTAATTGATCTATTTTAAGAAGTCTGGAAATATGTCATGCGAATAGCATGTGATTCTTATTCCTTCTCATAATTGTAGATACACTGAATTAGATTTTAAGTGTTTTCTTTACGCATACTTCCAAAACATTCAATGAATATATGAATAAATATTCAAGTATCCTTTTCCTGTTATTTAATCATGTAACATGAAGTAGTTATATTTAAAATATTGTTATTTAACCAAAGATGCTTGGTCCAATCCCTGCTCGCACTGTTGATGATGAGTTCCATAACTAAGACGAAACAGCCGTCCACTGATTGTAGGCTTCTTAATGGTGGATGGTGGTGTTACACAATGATTGATTCACGATCCCAAGATAAAACAACAATGAAAAATTGATTATTGTTACTGTTTTAAAATATTTCAACGTATAAAGAAGATATCATCATCTATTGATTTGTTGTTGTCTATGAAAATAAGAATATTTTCTTGTTCCATTGTGAATAAGTAAAAACAAGATATCTAATATTATGATGTATTCGTTTTGGTTTTTACTTAGATTGAAAAATTGAACTGTCTTGATAAGGAGCAACAGTCAAACACTGAACAATTTACATTAGTTGAAAAAAATCTACAAACTGTTCAAGCACAATTAGAAAATGTTCAACGAGACTATGAAGTTAGTAAAGTTGTTTTTTTTTTCAATTAGAGTTATGGAGATTAGTGTTTGTTGCACTTATGAAATCATCGATCAATGTGCTCACTGGTGTGACTAGCTTCGTGAGGAAATTCTTGGAGTTCTACTGAGAAGATGTGACTAGTGGAGTAACTAGTCACTAGTAACTAGCAAAGATAAATGTCTGAGGTCGCGCAAAATCCCTAGGTCATTCAGAGTTAGACATTAAAACTGTTGGATGCCGGCCCAGTGATCCAAAGGTTAGGCGTTCGCGCACTAACCTGAAGGTTCCGGGTTCGAGTCGTGCGAGGTGTAGGAGTCGTGGGTGCGCACAGCTGATGAATCCCATACCAGGACAACCGGCCGTCCAGTGCTTTCAGGTTTCTAATGGTGCTCTAACAATCATTGATCGAACGATAAGAATAAAAACAGCTACTTAAGGTCCGATGGTGAATTCGTACTGCTGACTGCAGAGGGGTGTGACACCAGTAAGGTGTTTCCCTCAAACACCCAGCATCTGCAGCGATGCTGCCTTCTCACAATGAAGGAAGGGGTTAGAAAAAGTCGACCCTAGAAATGTCACACCTTACCCTACCTCATGGATTTCCGTCTCCATCGGTAAGGGCTGCCCACTAAGGGCTTTTAAAAAGAGCGGAGTTAACATTATAAATACTTCTAATAAAAAGGCGTGCGTGACCAGTCACAAGCAGTTGTCCCTTGGGCTCTGCAGTCATGCTTCCAGGTCTCTAAGACCGATACTAAACTACCTTCTCTTTCAGGTTTCTCAAGAAACACCCTTCCAATGTGTGGGCAACCGGGAAGTGACAACCACCCTCATACCCTGTCTTTTGAAATTAATGTCTCATATTCGTAGCATATTGTAATTTGACCCAATCACATTGTATGATGTATAACTTACTTACTTACGCTTGTTACCCCCAATAGAGGAGCATAGGCCGCCCACCAGTTTTCTCCAACCAACTCTGTCCTGGGCTTCTCTCTCCAGTTCTGTCCAATGTTTGTTCATTCCTCTCATATCTTTCTCTATTTCTCGGCGAAATGTGTTCTTTGGCCTTCCTCTTTTCCTTTTGCCTTGAGGATTCCATGTGAGTGCTTGTCTTGTGACACACTCGGGTGCTTTATGTAGTGCGTGTCCTATCCACTTCCAACGCTTCTTCCTGATTTCCTCCTCCACTGGAATCTGGTTTGTTCTCTCCCACAGTTCGTTGTTGCTGATGGTGTCTGGCCAACGAATACGAAGTATTTTGCGTAGACAGCTGTTAATAAGCACTTGTATCTTCTGGATGATGGCTTTGGTAGTTCTCCATGTTTACGCTCCATACAGTGAAACTGTCTTGACATTTGTATTGAAAATCGTGATTTTTGTTTTGGTTGAAAGTTGTTTGGAGTTCCAGATATTTTTCAATTGTAGAAATGCAGCCCTAGCTTTGCCAATCCGTGCCCTCACATTTGAATTATTTTTTCTGGTCAGAGTTTTTTTGGCAAGTTAGTTTTTGACGGAATGGGGTCGCCAACCCTATGTCCAACCCTCCTCCTTTACCCGGGCTTGGGACCGGCAGTAGCCCCGAAGGTTCTACTGGCGGAGTTATGGTATAATGTATACTACTAAATTATCAGTTCTACACTTTTGCAACCATTTTCTAACATTCATTTTTACCCTGAACAACAAAAAGTTCAATCTATAAAACATATAGTACTTATTTAAAAGATTCAATGAATAACAATTTAAACAGTTAGTTTCCAAACATCACAACCATTGCATTATTACTTTATGGCAGGCATTGAGATAACTTGAATTTCGGCAATTTTTAATAGTTCTTCAACCGGTTTTTTTTCGCCTTCTTTCAGTCTACACTTTTGTTTAAAATGAACATTTCTTTTTTCTTATTTTGCTATTTTGTTCTGATTTTTGGCATACACACACATACTGTTTATGCTACAGTGTTTTTCATTCACTAAAATTATACGTGAAATGGACAAGTAGTAGTACGCATAAAATATTATTTGAACGAACACTTTAATTAAGGATTGATTAAAAAATTGTTTGATTCAATAAACTTTTCTAATTTCGAATTGTTTTTTTTTCTTTCTTTCTTTAATAATTCTTTTCATTTGATTTTTTTTTTGCAAAGAAATCTCGTAATGATTACACTAGTCTACATGTAACACTTCGTCAAATTGATCAAGAAAAAGATCATCTTCAAATTTGTTTAGATGAGCGTACTGAACATTGTTCAATGTTAGAACGTCAATTAGTCACATATGAAACAAGTATAAAAGATTTGAAAGTGAGTACTTATTGATTGATTGATTGATTGATTGTTGTTCAATATATATATTCATCTAACTAATGATTAAAACATATTCAATTTTAAATTAGAGTTATGGAGATTAGTGTATTTTTTTGCACATTTAAAATCATCAATCAATCAATCATTGTTAGACCACCATTGGAAACCTGGAAGCACTGGACAGCAGTTTTGTCCTTGTATGGGACTCATAAGCGGTGTGCACTCACGACTTCTGCACCACGCAGGATTTGAACCTGGGACCCTCGGTCTTGTGCGCGAACGCCTAACCTTTGGATCACTGGGTCGGCATCCAGCGGTGTTAATGTCTAACTCTGATTGATCTAGGGATTTTGCGCGACCTCACCCATTTGTTTTTGGTAGTTACTGTCTACACCCAACAGGATTGAACTCCACTGGTCACATCTCTTCACTAGAACTCCAAGAATTTCCTCACGAAACGACCGTCCAGTGCTTCCAGGTTTCTAATGGTGGTCTAACAATGTTTGGTTGATGATTTCAAATATTCAACTTTGTTGTATTTATTACGTAATTATTATTATTATTATTATTATTATTATTATTATTTATATTGTTGAATATTTAGATGAATAATGAGACTTCAGACAAACAAATACAACGACTTAAACAATCAATTATTGAACGTGAATCAGAAAATCGTGAATTGATTGAACGTTTATCCAAATCAGAATGTGACCTAAAATCAACTGTTAAAAATCATGAATTATTAATGAAAGATTTAGAAAATACTAAGGTAACTATAATTTTGATAGTAATAATAATAATAATAATAATAATAATAATAATGATAATTGTTATTACACCAATATTATTAACTATATGGTTAATATAGGGACCCACATCTAATCTATTGACATGAAAGATTTATTTTCTTTTTCTATCAGTCTTCATATAGAGTTACAAATTTGAGTGGTTTATCTTTCTTCTACTCCTAAATCCTTTGATGAATAGTAAATATGATGGCTATGCAAACTTTTCTGTTCAATAATTACAATTCTGGGTGTGTGTGTATACATTATTGAATGAAGCAGAAAAGTTGCTGATTCGTTAATTTTTTCAACCATTGTAAAAATGTATTGATGACGTAGATAAAGACAGCATCATCGACAGCCAAGGTGGATCCGATACAGATGTGAGGGCGCAATATCGGCAAAGCAAGGGCTGCATTTCTAGAGTTGAAAAAAATCGGGAACTCCAAACAACTTTCAACCAAAACCAAAATAAGGATTTTCAATACAAATGTCAAGAAAGTTCTACTGTATGGAGCGAAAACTTGGAGAACTACCAAAGCCATCATCCAGAAGATACAAGTGTTTATTAACAGTTGTCTACGCGAAATACTTCGTATTCGTTGGCCAGACAGCATCAGCAACAACGAACTGTGGGAGAGAACAAACCAGATTCCAGTGGATGAGGAAATCAGGAAGAAGCGGTGGGAGTGGATAGGACACACACTACGAAAGGCACCTAACTGCGTCACGAGACAAGCCCTCACATGGAATCCTCAAGGCAAAAGGAAGAGAGGAAGGCCAAAGAATACATTTCGCCGATAAATAGAAGAAGATATGAGAGGAATGAACAAACACTGGACAGAACTGGAGAGAGTTGGTTGGAGAAAACTGGTGGGCGGCCTATGCTCCATTGGGGGTAACAGGCGTAATTAAGTAGGTAAATAAGTAACCTTTTCTCTTCAATAATTACAATCTGAGCGTGTGTATACATTATTGAATGATGCAGGAAAGTTGTTGATTCGTTAATTTTTCAACCACTGTAAAAATGGATTGATGACGTAGATAAAGAACAATTCGAATTTCGGAAGCTATCAATAAACACAAAGTTCTCCACTTCTCTGATAGAGGAAAGAAGAGATTCGAGAATCTCGGTCCTAGAAATTGGATACATCATTTTCCCCCACGGATTTCATAGTTTTTAAATTACTGATGTAACATATTAGTTATTACTTGGCTCACAAGTATTTGTCCTTTATTTTGGATTTGTGATCATTCACTCTAGCACAGTTCTTTTATCAACTACTCTGAGATAAAGTATTTTTTTCCTGTTGTGTGGTTGGTCGAGAAGTAACGATCATAGTTGAGATCTGAGGTTAATTTTTAATGGATGATTAAACTTGTTTTCATAAAATGACTAAAGCCTAAAAACTATGCAATAATTGTATCTTTTCAATGATTACTTTCTTGCCAACTTACGCCTGTTACCCCAGATAGAGCATAGTCCTGCCGACCACTTTTGGTTAGCGTGTTTTCTTAGCAAGTTGGCCTTCTATTTGGATGAGGTAGCAAACCCCATGCCCAAACCTCCTCTTTTATCTCTGGGCCTGGTACTGGTAGTATGGTGTGAGCTACTTATAAGTAGTATATGACGTGAGTAGAAACGTAATGTCTGGCAGCAGAAGATGGGGGAAGATCAAGAAAGGAAGAGTTAGAAAACAATGAAATTTGTATGCAACGCATGAATAGTGACAATGGATTGATGTTTTGCAACAGGAACAGTCCAGTTCGATATGATGGACTGATAATTTGCAAATGAACGATTTACGATATGGTTTTCCGATTTTACTGAGTAACTCTGTAATTTTCGTTAAATACAATTCGGTTACCCCACCTGTGTTCTCCTTCACTACAGTAGTATTTTTTTTTTAAATGAATACAAAAATCATGCTTAAAATATCCAATTGATTTTACTGCAATTATAAATTGTCATAATAATATTTTTTATATTTCTAATGTTATTTATTTAATGTTATTATTAGAATCAATTGAATATACTGACAAATGAAACACAACGATTACAAAGTGAATTAGATGCTTCGTATGATAAACAAAATGAATTGGATAAACGTTTGATTGAATGTGACAAAGAACTCACAAATCTTCGTAATTCAAATTCTATGAAAGAACAAGAAAGAATAAAACTATTAAAACAATACAGGTTGGTTTCTAGCTAGTCATCTGTCCATTAGATATGCATATACATATATATCTGTAGCAGTAAACTACCATTAGGCAGGAAATTGTTCAACATTATAGTTAACTGAAGACCTACTGTATACATACATACGCTTGATGAAATATGACACTTTTGAAATCATAAATCAATCATTGTTAGACCACCATTAGAAACATGGAAGCAGTGGATGGACATTTCGTCCCAGCATGGGACTCATCAGCGGCAGTGCGCATTCACGACTCCTGTACCTCGCAGTATTTGAACCCCGGACCTTCGGTGGTAAAATTCTCGGAGAAGACGTCACCAATGGAGTTCAACCCCGTCGGGTGTAGACAGTAACTACCAAAAACAAATGGGTGAGGTCACGCAAAATCCCTAGATCAATCAGTGTTAGACATTAACACCGTTGGATACCGGCCCAGTGATCCGAAGGTTCCACGTTCGAATGCGGCGTGGTTCAGGATTCGTGGACGCGCAATACTGACGAGTCCCATACCAGGATGAACCGGCCGTCCAGTGCTTCTAAGTTTCTAATGATGGTTTAACAATGATTGATTGATGATTTCAAATGTGTAAAAACTCTAATCGAATATATGACACTGCCTAATATCGCCTTTTTATATTACAGGTCCTAGAACTTATGCTTCCGTTTAATGATGACATTATTACTACAGGACTACTTTTAATGTTCCGAACCAGGATCAGACCATGATGCACAAAGTATAAAATCTAATTATCAGAAGCGCTTCGATGTTTAGTATTCATGATCATGTCCTCACATGTGTCTAGTGTCGCAGGACGAGTCCCGGATCCACGGTGGTAGAAAACTTGAAATTAATAGAGTTCACTCATGTACAATGTGAAGTATTCATCAGCCGATGAGATTGGAAAGTGGTTACCTGGCATCGCTGATTGTTTGAAATTATATAGGTAAATTAATTTGTGCCGTTCCAATGGGATGAGGGTAAGACGACACAGACGATTACAAATCATCACTTCATGAAATTGTTGACATTGATTCTGAACTTCCAGTACGACCTCAAATCCTGTTCCCAAATCTCCAAGATATCAGAACGCAACACCGTTAGATGAAGTTGTTTATGAGGTCGATTACAGAAGGAAGGAAGGAATCGAATAATAAGCTTTACAGCTCATGCAATATTTTTACAGTTAGGTCGAATAGGAAACAACCTTGAAGTCTGTTACATTGATAGTTAAGACGACCAATAGGAAAACAGCATTTTAAATGACATTGACAGTTAGGACAACCAATGGGAAACAACGACCATAAAATTGACCAGTTCGAATTGACCAATAGAATTGCACTTACAAAAATAGTTCTCTTAAGATATCGGATTAATAACCTAACAAGTTTTTTAATGATGGTATAATTCAATGATCAACAACAACTACTTCCGAAACTAAAATTATTCCCCCCCCCCTCAGTAACTTTTTTCTTTGTTTACAATTAAATTTTCTCTATTGAAATATGGTGTTTTATTTTTGTTTCAAATTTAGGACAATTGCACTGAAATTAGATGAAAAAACAACTTTAGTTGATCGTTTAGATAATCAACTCAAAGAATTCAATTATAAATATTCTGAATTAGATAAAGAATCAATTGATTTACGTCAACAATTACAACAACAGAAAAAAGATTGTCATGATTATGCTCAAGTTGTAAAATCATTAGAAGTACAGGTATGGTACTACACATTGTGTTATTTACATTACATTATATTAATATTATCATTGTTCAAGAATTAATGCTGTAAGATTGACATTTTACTGAATTTTTTAAACAAGGGGGAGGGATCGGTATTAGTATTGTAACCGGTAGTTGAAGATGTCGGTTCGTATCACTTAGAATCGATCACATTGGCACAGATGCATTATTCACTCTTTGACTTTGTTAACAGAATGAGTTTTATTCTACGAATTGATATTTTATGGAATCATATTATCTCTGTTTAATTTTTACTACTATCATTGATGCTTTCACTAATTTCTTGCTTACTTACGCCTGCTACCGTCAATGAAGCATAGGCTGCCCACCAGTTTTCTTCAACCAACTCTGTCCTCGGCTTCCCTTTCTAGTTCTTTCCAGTTTTTGTTCAATCTTCTGATGTCTTTCTCTAATTCTAGGTGTAATGTGTTCGTTGGCCTTTTTCTTTGTTGTTGACTTTGAGGGTTCCATGTGAGGGATTTTCTTGTAACGCAGTCCGGTGCTTTTCACAGTGTATGTCCTATCTACTTCCACTGCTTCTTCCTGATTTCCTCCTCCACTCGAATCTGGTTTGTTTTCTCACACAGAAGGGTTTTGCTTATAGTGTCTGACCAACGAATCCGAAGTATTTCGCGTAGACAACTGTTCACAAGTGCTTGTATCTTGTGGATGATGGCTTTGGCAGTTCTCCAAGTTTCAGCCACCCATACAGTATAACTGTCTTGACATTTGTATTGAAAATCCTGATTTTGGTTTTGGTTGAATGTTGTTTGAAGTTCCAGTGTCACTACTTTCTATCACATTAATTTTCATTTCTCAATTGTTATTTCACATGACAACTCCAACAGATGTACACACATATGTTGTACTAGGTTGATGTATGACTGAATGACTAAAATTTTCCTGTCGTAATTTGTTAAACCGACTACTGAATTTGAAAATATTCTATGCATTTACTATTTTCATTAATCTAATTAATGTCTAGTATGTATGTACATTTTTTTTTCTCCTTTCCAAATTCAAGAGTGAATTATTGAAAAAAACTATTTCAGATTCTGAAGATAGAATTAAACGTTTACAAATGGAAAATGAAGAAATTCACCGTGACTTAATTGATACACGAAATTTATGCGATAATTTAGAACGTCAAAAAAATTCATTACAACATCAAACTACTATTAGTAGTTTGGAAGTGAATCAATTGAAAGCGAAAATAATTGAAACAGAACGAGAATTAATGGATTGTCGAAAAGAAGTAAACTTTCCTATTGATTAACGAAGTTTTTTTTTTTGATTGTATATCATGCGAAAATGATCCCAATTTTTCGTTCGCAATCTGAATGATTATGATTTATATGAATTAATAATGGGTATCCGTTTGCTAACTGCGCAGCAGTTCGCTCCGTTCTTCTATATGGATGCGAAACATGGCCGTTAAGAGTAGAAGATATTCGTTGGTTACTAGTATTTGATCATAGATGTCTTAGAAGTATTGTTTGTGTATGGTGGGACAAGAGAGTAAGCAATGCTGTCGTTGGGAAACGGGTGCTAGGAAGGGATGGAAAATCAATAGATGAAGTATTAAAACTCCATCAGTTGAGGTGTTTGGGACATGTGATACTAATGCCCAAACACCGACTGCCTCGACGAGCTTTGTTTTGTAGTGTAGGAGTAGGTTGGAAGAAAGCAAGGGGCGGCCAGACCAAAACATGGCAGATATGCATGAAGTCACTGACGAGTGGACTGAGTCATGCTGGTAGATGTAGGCTACCTGGTTGGTGTGCACGAGACGAAAGTCACCAATGGTTAGAGACGTTGAACGAAATGGCTCAAAATCGTTCGCAATGGCACAAGTGCATCCACTATTTGTGTTCTGTCAAATCCTAATCTTCTGGATTCATCAACACCTCTACCTTTGTCTTTCTAAACTTCTGTCACCTAATTATACTTCTTGAATAATATCTTCAAATCCTAATCTTCTGCATTACCGGTAATACTATGGGATTTGAATTGACAATTACGTCTCTGTGCTAATGTGGTATGGTAACAACATGAACTGATGTACTTACGTACGAAGTTCCACGTTGCATCTGACTGACTGAATAAACTGAACTCTCTTGATGAAAAGGCTGTAGTAATTGTATGTTGTTTAATTTTGTGTTCACTCCGAAGTTGATTAACTCATTTGTAGCTTCATCAAAAAACACAAAGCACTAAACATCTGTTTTCGCTATGATATGAGAACTCTTAACAAATATTATCTACCATCTCACTATGGATCTAATCCAGAGCTGACAAGTCTCATGATGAACACTTTAACTTTATCACTAATGTAGTTCATACATGTCAGGCAGAAGTTAAACAATTATCTTATATATATAACATCAGATAGTTGTCATTTTTATATCTCAGATTGTTAGAATGTTGACCTTTTTTTTTTCTTCTTAATTGTATTTCAAAATAGGAGAGAAATTCTAATTTTTTTTTAAATAACCCCCGATTATTTTTGATAGAAGTAAGATAGAGATATGCAATCATTCGCTTTCGTTTAAAATTTAATTTAATATTTAGAGTTGATTGTGTAACCCACACACACACACACACACACCTAATGTAATAGTGTTCTTATTTTTTTTCATATCAAACTAATAGATATGTTTATTTGACAATCAACTTTTAAACATTCTTCATTGTAGGTAGACATGAAATCATTGTACTACAATGCTATTTTCTTTTTAAACTTACATAGCTTCTTAACTGATTGCAAATCAACAAATATTATTGATTTCATGATTTCACAATTTATTTATTGCATACATCTAAGGCGTTTGTTTAATAATTACTTACTCTATGTTGGTGATAGATGGTTCAAGTTATTTATTGTTCACTGTTTTTTTTGATAGATTAAATCTATACAATGTAGCTTAAAAATTTATATGATCTATGGTAATAATTGTTAATTACTTTTGTAGCTTGATCGTGAACGTGAATCTATGCGAAATTTTGAATTGATTCTAGGATCAAGTCGTGAAGCTGAACATACAGCTAATCATGAACTTAAAGTAAGTTCTTTCTTATTTTTTTTTGTCAAAATATTCTCCCACTAAATAAATAGCTAGTTGAATAACTCTGTTGTGGTGTTTGTTATGTAGAGTTGACTTGCTCGCCTTCTCCAATTCGCTTCGTTTTGCTTGATACGCTTCCCTTTTGTCATGTTTATCTGCATAAATGAACACGCATGAAATAAATTCATCCGCAATACCGTATTTGGCTTCTTACTATTGCCGTTAGATACCCTGAATGACATGGCTCAAAATCGTTCGCAATGGCGCCAGTGTATTTATTCTCTGTGTTCTCTCTAATCCTAATCTTCTGGATTCTTCAACTCCTCTAGTTTTGACTTTCTAAACTTATCTCACTGAATCATACTTCTTGAATAATATCTTCTAATCCTAACCCCTCCGATTACTTCTAATACCCTTACTACCTCTTCTACTATTGGATTTGAATTGACAATTATATCTCTGTGCTGTTGTGGTATGGCAACATGAACTGATGTACTTATGTACGAAGTTCTACGTTGCATCTGACTGACTACTGCCGTCGCACAAACGGGGTTAACCTAAGTTTAATAATCGGAAGTGGATAGCAAGATTTATTTCATTGCACACTCACTCGATCATTCGTCTACATTGAAGCCCAGTAGTGAACCGCTAAAAGCTTACACAAATCCTCATCTTCGTAAAACTAAAAAAAAAACTTAAAACACTAGAAAACAAGATATGTAGCTATAAAAAAATCATCTTAGCTCTTCATGTAACAATAAGAAAGGCATATTCAATAACATTCTGTATCAATCAGTTTTTCAGTTGATATTTATAAATTTGAAAGCATTGGACGGCTGTTTTGTCCTATAATATGAGACTCATCAGTTGTGCGCGTCCACAAATTGAGCTCAGGACCTTTGATTTGGCGCGCAAGCGCTTAACATCTAGACCAATGAACCTAAATCTAACGGTGTTATTGTCTTTTTTCAATCAATCTATGATATTTCGTGACCTCATCCATTATCGTCCATGGTGGTCTAACATGGATCGATTCATGGTTTCAGTGAAATTCAACAATCTCCATAAACCTATAATGATATATATCCAGTTATTCTACCGATTAAGATATCAGTAGTCTAATACCAAGCAAAGTCTTCAATAGGGTATTATTAAACAGAATGAAGGACTTTGTAGACTCCCAACTTCGAGATTAACAGACTGGATTTCGTAAGAATCGATCGTGTACCGACCAAATTTTAATATAACGCATCATTGTGGAACAATCACTTGAATCAAACTCACCACTCTACATCAACTTCATCGATTATGAGAAAGCATTCGATAGCATGGACAGGAAAACACTGTAGAGGCTTCTTCAACACTACGGCGTACCTGAGTAGATGTACGTGAAGCTATTTTTCTCTTTGGAATTGTTTTATACTACTGTATCTTTCTTTTGTGTTTGTTTATTTGACATTTTTTTTATTTCATTTTATTTATAAATACTACATAGGAATGTCATGCTGAATTATGCTCTTTACGTGAACGTTTAACTGTAACAGAAACAAAACTATTCAAATCGAAATCAGAAATGAAAACATTATTACAAAAACAATTAGCATTATTGCAAAACTCATCAGAGAATTGTTATTCTTCATTGATAAAAAATGCTGAACAATCTGTTGATTCCTTATCAGACGACAGATTTGTAGAAAAACATTTACAAAATGATGTTGTTGTTGTTCAAAAAATAACAAGTCCAACTACGTTATCCATGGAATTACTACCATTGATTGACGATTCAACAAAAGAATTATCATCTTCATCGATTCCATGTTCAAAGTAGGTTTTTTTTCTATTTATTGATGCATCGATTTATTGTGGTGGTGTTTCGTTCGATAATTTTTTCCTAAGTGGTATTAATCAGTCAGTCAATTACAACGTAGAACTTGGTAAATGTGTAGATCAGTTCAAGTTTGCTATACCACATCAATACATAGAGATGGAATTGTCAGTTCGAATACCATTAGTAATAGAGTAAGTAGCAGTATATAGGCAGTAAGGGAAAATGAAGTATCGATGATATGATTTGAGAAGTATTGTAGTAAACGAGAACACAGGTGTGGCAACCGAATTGTATTTAACGAAAATAACAGAGTTACTCAGTAAAATCGGAAAAACCATATCGTAAATCGTTCATTTGCAAAATAACAGTTCATCATATCGAACTGGACTGTTCCTGTTGCAAAACATCAATCCATTGTCACTCACTATTCATGCGTTTCATACAAATTTCATTGTGTTCTATCTAACTCTTCCTTTCTTGATCTTCCCCCATCTTCTGCTGCCAGACATTACGTTGACACTCACGTCATATACTACGTATAAGTAGCTCGCACCACAGCACCACAGTATATCTTAATGAAATAAATTTTTAAAAAAGAGAACAAATAAAATCATCATGAGTTTACAAGGTTTGACATTGAGAGAGAGAGAGGAAATAGGATAGATGCATCTGTATCTTTGCAAATGACTTCGAACTATGTCCGTAACTATCGGTTACACTATTGTCTCATGGACACAAACCAGGCAGGCGATCTGGGGCTAGCCGT